TTTAAAATATCACAACAAATCTCCCACCCACGACCGCTTGCAACATAGAGAAATCATAGATAAGATAAGGTTTTGATCATGACGTTCGGGAAAAATTAAGAGAACAGTCAAAATTACTGTATTTTCTATAGATAAGGGTTAAAATAATAATCATATGGTTATTACGTAACAGCATTAAATAAAGCGTTACCTTAATATGTAATGATCTTAATTTTAATTATGAGTAGGCTTAGGCATTTAAAAAATTCTAGGTTAGTTGACTGGCTTCATATTTTTTACTGAATTTAGAAATTGCATTGTAATTGAAAATCATAGTCATTTGAGTCCAAATATCTAATATAAAAAGAAATGCTTTCCTCCTTCTATCATATAAAATGTTTTTCTATTAAAATTGCCTAAAATATTTTTGCAACATAATTTTTTTTTATCTATATATTACTTCAGTTATTTCTAGCAACATTGACCTTATATTGTCAAAAATAAAAAATATATCAAATATATTTAAAGTATTTTAAATGTAAGGATTAGATTTTATTATTTAATAATCGCGTTAATATTTAAGGTAATTTTTAAAGTTACACCTACTAATTTACCTATATTACTAACAATTATTTATTGTTGTTTTGTTTATCTCTAAGTAGTGATGTAAGAATATTATCCTTCGTATTTATTTTGTGAAGTTTTTCCGTTTCCTTTATTATATGCCTGCAGACTTTAAACAGAACTATTTATCTGTATATTTGTTTCATTAAAAATCATTTCCAATTTCAGATGTTGAAGTTCAACGGGTTAGTAATTTGGAGGTTAGGTTCACGAGCAATAATAAGGAAGTATTCCAGTCCTAGTGCTACAGTATTTAAAACAGAAAAACTTGATTCTTCAAAAGGCATCGGAGACAAAAATATTACTAGCCCAGAAACAAATAGCAGAGATAACCCAAGTATGTTACAGTAAAAAGCACAGTAAGATTGAAATTGTAGTGAAGTTGGTTATTAATGCAGAGAAAACTTAAAGCAGATATTTAAATTAATCATGGCCATCTAGTTAGTGACCCGCGCGTATTCGCTCAGGTCCAATTCTAATACAAATATGTGTTTGTTTATGACATCATATTAGAAACCTCTAAAATTATAAGTTATTGAACATGTTTTAAACACAAAACCTTCCTTTTAAATAACTCTACTATAAATAGCTGCATTTAAATCTGTTGTATGGTTTCAAAGATTTAAGCTAACATAAGAATAGACAGATAGTGGGCAGCAACAGTTCTATACTAATAAATGTACAGGAATTTTCTTACTATTTTTCATATTATATTTCAATTATTATAAAATTACTATACTATATATAAAGACTAGTTTTCACCCGTGATTCCGTTCACGTGGTAGTAGAAAGAACAAAAGTTAGCAGCCTATGTGTTCTTCCAGACTATCTATATCCATGCCAAACTTCATCAAGATCCGTTCAGCCGTTTAGGCTACAAACTAACAAACTTTAACATTGTATTATTAGTAAGAAGTAAGGTATACCTTAAACTGTACTAAAGTTATGTACACAAAGGGTATAATAAATTATGTTTTAGCAGGCTTAGTGGCAGCAGCCTTTGCTTCTATAAACTCTCCTGAGAGTGAAGACAGCAGGAAGCCAAGTCCGAAGTCAGTGAAATTGAGCAGATACCAGATATTAGATAATGAAATTGCTAGAGCAAATGATGTCAACAGTTTACTGCTGGTCGCTGAAAACCCTATAGTTTCCAGACGACATGCATTAAAGGTAATTTATTAAACACTAGCTTTCACCCGCGACTCCGTCCATGTGGAATTGAAAAAAACAAAAGTGAGTAGCTTATGTGTTTTTCCAGACTATACTCTACATCTGTACCAAATTTCATCGAAGTCCGTTCATCTGTTTAGGCTACAAACTCTAACAAACATCCATCCATCCATCGAAACTTTCGCATTTATAGTATTAGTATGATTATTGTAAAATAGCATTTAATTTAGTCTCAAAGTAGTAAAACCACAAGACTACAGCAGAAGTTCAGCTATGTCATTTTTAACTGAATGGTAGAATCTTTCAGTTAACTTTATCAGGCTTTTAGCTAACTTTTTATTTATTACATAAAAATCTTTTCTCTTTATAATATTTGTTTAAGTATTGAAGAAGAAAATAGAGATATCTACATACTTTTCCTATCATTATATATCCCCATGTAATTTGTATGTTAATTTATAGCTATTTGCTTAGTTTATTATCATGATTCTTAAGAATAATTTTTTTTAGATGGTTTCAACCCTATCAGAATGGTCAAGCAGTAATAAAGTGAAACTAAGTGACTTTGAGAAGGATCCTCGATTTCTAAAGCTGTGCAGGATACTGGCACGGTCAACATCATCACAGGCTTTGAGTTCTTTGACCATGGCGGAGGACTTGAGTACAGTGCTTGGTATTACAGGTGATGATGAGGCTGCAAGGTTGATTGGGAATCTGTCATTGACACAAATGATTAAGGTAAGCATATGTAAAGGTTTCATATACCTAGGTATAAACCTAAACATACCTAAACATTTAAGAGAAAATGGATTTGCATTTATTAATATTATCTATACTTCTATACTATTAAAACAAAGCGTAAACACACACTTTTTTACCTAAGATGTCAGCAATTACAGTATATTTTTGAATAATTATTTTTTTAATAAAAAGCCCTACACTTACGTCAAGTTTTAGGCTATATGTTTCACGACATTAAACTCAGGGGGTAAATATGTTGAATAAAAACCCTAATGTGGGAAAGAGACCATAAGTTGTTGCCAACATCAAGGAAGTAAGATTGTCAAGGTTTGTTATGTCATTTTGACATTTGCTATTGATAATTTGACAAATGTAAATAATAAAATGAAATGTTTATAATTTTATGCGGATGAAGCCACACATGAACAGCTAGTAAAATATAAATATAGAAGTTTATATTAATGGATGGATGTTTGTTACTATATATCTCCAGAATGTTTAAATTGAACTCAATTCTATGCGGACAGTATTGGGCAATAGCTTGTTTTATGAAATAACTAGCTGTAGCTCGCGACTTCGCCCGTGTGAAATTAAAAATAATAATAAAAACACACCCTATATTACTCACAGATAAATCATCTTTCTAACGGTGAAAGAATTTTTATAAGGCCCAGTAGTTTTTAAGTTATTTCAATACATACAAAAATTAGTATATATTAAAAAATCTTTTTAAAAATGGAATATAAATGCAGTAAAATAAATGAGGCAAAGGTCCTTGCTTATTTTCATATAATTGTTGGATTACATTACTCAGTTGGTTAGGATTCCTAAGTTAGAAATATTATAAAATGCAAATTTGTATTTACATAAATTTCTTATAGGTGATGAAGGCGTTACATTCAAAGGGTCGTCGCAGCACGCCGTTACTCCGCGCTCTCTCTCACAATATCACAAACCAATCGGAACAATTGGATTTAAAGAAATCAGCTGATCTGCTGTTTGCTATGGCATCGCTGAATTTCCCTGATCCTGTATTAATGGATAGGATATGCAAGTGAGTTTGTTAATAATATTTTCATACTTAACTAGATTTATTTAACTACATAACTAAAACTATGGCTGCCTTCTCTTTCGCCTGCTCCAGTGGAATTAGGACTCATAGTGCTAAGTGGAAATAGCCACTAAAAACTAAAACTTTTAAAATTTACTCATTAAAGTTTAAATATAAGATTAGAATAACCTAACTTCATGTTATAAACAAGAAAAAAAATTTCAACCAAATTCCTAAAAAAAAAAATTATCCTAATTCATCTGTATACTTTCTTTCGTATTTTTGTTACTTTATAACAAAGCTTGTGGTTGGGCAATTAACAATTATTTTTTATGTAATGAATACTAAACTACCAGACTAAAAAACTACTAGACCAATTAAAAAAATGTTACGACTTAAGAAATCTACATTATCACAGTAAGGCTATATTTTTACTAGAATTTTCTTTAATGCCGCACTAATGTACTAATAACATTAAAAAACATGACTAAAGATGTAAACATTTCCTCCAGCGATGTGATAAGCAACCTGAAATCCAACCAAGACAAGCCAGCGGTGGTGACCTCCATCATGGTGTCTCTGGGGCTGCTGCGTTACCGGCACGAGCCGGCACTGTCCGCGCTGGCGGACTGGCTTCAGGCGCACCGGGACGTCTGCAGAGCCAGCGATGTGGCCTCCGCAGTGGTCACCTTCGGTACACTGGACTTTATACCCCCCATGTGTGAAGGATTGATAGAGGTAACACCACTTTTTATTCATTTTTAATTAGTTAAATATACGCTGCTTGCTGATTTACTTCTTACTAATAAAATAATTTCGACAATTTAGATGGATGGATGGATGATTATTATTGTCAAATTATCAATTGCAAAATGTCAAAATGACATGACAAGATGTCAAGTCATGGCAACCTTGCTTACTTATTGTTTGCAACAACTTATGGTCTCTTTCCCACATTAGGGTTTTTATCCAAAATATTTACCCCTATATTTTAACGGCGTGAATATGTAGCCTAAAGCGTGACGTAAGTGTAGGGCTTTTTATTAAAGAAAGAGTTATTCGAAAATATGTCGTGATTGCTGACATCTTAGGCAACAAAGAAGTGTGTGTTTACGCTTTATTATATTAGTATAGTTTAGTATGAAGCATGAAAACCTAGTGATTCATTAGTGTTTATATTTGTCATTTCCAGAATGCATTATTATTGAAAGAAGAGGAGATGGTGAAGCCTTCCTCGTGGTTGGACTTCGTGTTCTCTTTGCTGACGCTGAGCCACGCCAGAGAAGACCACCTCCTGTCCACTGTCAGACCGGACTTTATTGACAAACTGCTGTCAGCTGGCGGTGAGTTTTTTTTAATTGTTTGATTTAATATCTAGCTTTTATGTCTAGTAATTTAGTAAATAACATATGTCTAATTAACGTAATGTTACTAAAATACTTCGTTCACATAGAGTGAAGAGTATACCAATTTTGTAGCAAATAAAATTCAATTTTTAAAAGAGTTGTTAAAAGGCTCGAGTCTCCCGAGTCTTCGACTCATTCGAGGCTCGAGTCTCTTATAAAGGCTCGAGGGCTCGAGCCTTATTGCGAGGTTCCAGCTTCAACTCGAGCCCTTGTCCCGAGGCTCGAGCTCTGTTTTGAAGGCTCACTACACAACATTATTCTCCAAAATAAATCTACTAAATATATTATTTAAACAATGCATTTTTATTAAGTAAATATTTTAGTTAAAAATCCTAATGTGGGAAAGAGACCATAAGTTGCTGCCAACATGAAGAAAACAAGATTGCCATTTGTCATTTGTGCATTTCATGCGGATGTAGCCGCACTGGAACAGCTAGTTCTCAATATTAATTTAATGTTATTCTATGCAGACGGTGTCGCGGGTGAAAGTTAGTAATCTATGTTATTTAAATTCTAGAGATACCAATCCCAGCTCGTCGTAAACTCATGTCTATTGACGCATACATAAGTATGAAGTTCCCGGAGCGCTCGCGACTCGCGGAGGACATCTCTGTGGGCGTGCCCATACTTTATACAAAGGAAAAAGCACTCTATGTACAGAGCATTATGGATACGTTTAAAAGTCTCGTCTCTGCTGATGCCTTTATGAAGAGGGAGTGTAATTCTGGCATGGGATTTCTGTATGGTGAGTTTTACAATGCTATAAATGTATCTTATTCACCCACTGTCCCTCCTATTCTCTTCTCAGTCCGAATCCCTCGCTTCCGTTCTCTTCCTCTCCCTTTCTGGCTCACTCCGTATCATTATCTTTCGGCCTCTCTTTCATTTTGAATCTTTCTCTCTGTCACCTATCTCTCTGTATCTCTCTCCCACTCTCTTTTTTGAAAGCACTAAACTTACTATTTCTGTATGTTTCGATACCACATTTTATAATGTTTAGATTTCTTTACGCGTGTATTTTTAATATCGTTTTTTTTTTCACTTTTTCAGATGCGGAATTTGCTCTCAACTCCAAATGTCATCCAGTTCCGTTAGAGAAGGCGGTAAATGATAAGAGGTTAGTTTATATTACTATAATTATACATATTTTAACTTATTTTTAATTAATTTTAAGTTTAAGTATAAATCTGCGGTCGTATATCAGACAATGATAAGTACATTTTTTCAGTATGACTTAATAATATAGGTTTAATCGCCAAAAATACACTTTCATTTGGTCATATTAGGGCTTTACTACATTTTTCCATATTTCGTGAATATCATATTTTAATAGTGCCTTCAAGATTTCTTTATAATCTAATAGGGAATATGAATGTTTTTTCTTTTTTTAAACGATTGTACTTGTTATAAAATAACCACAAAAAAATTGACGCGAAAATATTCAACCATTGAGCTAAAAATAATAAAATAAAATTACGACAATTTTCGAGCGACTACAACGCGACCGGAGTTGTCATGAGATGATTGACGTAAATCGTCTATTCCATTCATAACATACGCTCAGATGTCACTTCGACGTAAAACAACAAAGTTTCTCAAGGTCAAAAAGTCAAAAATCGATTCATTTTTATTATTCCTGGTACAAATAAGTGGTAATTAATAATTCTATTCATTTTTTTTAAAGTTGGTTTTGATATCGTGTTTACAGTAAAATACTTCAAGAGTGTATTTCTATATAAACTAACGTAAATGAACTGTGTATTGACAACACAGCGACGCCATATTAGATAAGCCATTTGCTTCGACCAATAGTGTGCGTTATAGAACTTAGCGCGGGAATTCGAAAAAATACACTTTTTAATGATTAAATTTTGCCACTAAATCACATTATATTTAAAAAAAATCTTTGCAGAACTGTTTTTAGTAATAAAGTATACTAAAAAAAAGTTTGGTACAATTTGGCGTCATATGCATATTGCCTATTGCTTGTCCTGTAAAATAATGAAATTGCTTTTACCATATTTTGACCTATGACCACAGAAATATATTTTTTTACAGCGTGCATAGAATAGCAGTTCTGGGTCTGGAGTACCACGACATGACGCGCCGCAGCGTGGCGCCGCTCGGAGTCAACCAGCTCTACACCAGGCTGCTTCAAAATAAGGTAATATATACTAACTTTGGACCCCTGACACTGTTTGGTAAAAAAAAAAAATTAGCCTATGTGCTCTTTCAAACTATTCTCTGTCTATACTAATATTATAAAGAAGAGAGGTTTGTATTTTTGTATGTATTGAAATAACTCAAAAACTACTGGGCCGATTTTAAAAATTCTTTCACCGTTAGAAGTTAATTTATCTTTGAGTAACATAGGCTATTTAATTTCACGCGGGCGAAGTCGCGAGCAACAGTATATGATGAATTTAATTGAGATCAATTTAGCTAGTAAATTGTCACAAACATCTACCTAAAATTTTGCATTTATAATCATACTAATATTATAAACTATCTGCTGCACGCGACTTTGCCCGCGTGAAATAAAAAAATATAGCCTATGTTACTCACAGATAAATTAACTTCTAACGGTGAAAGAATTTTTAAAATCGGCCCAGTTTTTTTGAGTTATTTCAATACATACAAAAATACAAATCTTTCCTCTTTATAATATTAGTATAGATATAAATATAAGTTTAGATGGATGTTTGTTAGAGTTTGTAGCCTAAACTGCTGAATGGATTTCGATGAAACTTGGTAAAGATGTAGAGAATAGTCTGGAAGAACACATAGAACCCTTTTTTTTCAAATTCCATTAATAAAAGCAAAAATTTAGGTAGAAGTTACTAATAGCATGATTTATTTGATTTTTTTGGACCATTCCATTTTTAAGTTTTTTTGGTCCAAAGGCTAATTTACTCAACAGCATTAAAATAAACGCGGTATAAAGTTAAACTTAGGAATAAACTGAGTATAAGCAAATATAAGTACAAATTTCGCTTACACTCAGTTTATTTCTAAGTTAAATTTTATACCGCGTTTATTTGTAAGGCTGTAAAAGTTTTTAGTGATTAAAAAAAAATCCGTTTACAATCGCCATTTTAGTAGAATTTAGAGTAAGTGTGGTTTTTTTAAATAAACTGTAGTTACATTTAATTATTTATTTATTTAAATTTGGCTTATCGACATAACATGATTTT